TGTGAGCATTGCCTGCTCTGGTCCCTTGTGCTATAGGGGAGGATAATTCCTTCTGGAGGTAAGGGCTGCTCACGGTTTGCTTTCCTACAATGCTGGCTGTTCAGGAGAATCTCACAGACAGTCTGTGCATGCACAGACTTGAATAAATACAGGTATCACTCTTTTTCCAGGCACGTAGCAACGCTGATCATCTTAGCATTCATCAAGAACAGTGGGATGGCAGGGGCTACCTACCCCACTTGGTCCATCTCGTCATGCCAAAATAAATCTGCAGCTGGAAAGACAGAAATGGACTGAAATATTTTGCTGGAGATGGGCTGAGCAGAGTGTGAGACAAATAGAAACTTTATCCCATGGCTGAAATGGAGCTAGCAGTTTGCTCACTGGGCAGCTCACCTTTTGGGCATTTGCTTTCCCTGATTAGTTTTAGATCCCACTCAAGCCTTCATCTCCTGCGGAGACAGATAAATAGAGTGGAACAAATGGAAAGGGCACACAGGTTCCAAGGTACCCAGCTCACTTAAAGGACTGAGTGCTGACACACAGCTTTATCTGTAGTGTAAGTCTGTGCCTTCAAAAAATAAAAAAACTCTAAAGCCTTGAATAATTTACCAATTTCCAGGGTTAAAAGGAAGATTTATGATGTTTTCTTCTGTCTGGAGACAGCTAATCTTGTCTCTTATGGAAAAGCAATTGTACTAAAGGCTCTTCTCTCTGACGAGATTGAAGAGTGACTGCTGGGAGTTCATGTCACCAGATGGTAGACGGACCCCTCTTGTTCGCTCCATACAACATGGGCAGAAAAAACAACTTCTGATTTTGTGATTGCTCCATGGGGTACCAGCAGCCTGAAAGCACATGAACTGGGGTGTTTTTGGAATCTGTAACAGGGCTTATGCAGACAAGTGTGACTGCACAGACACAGTCCTGTCTTGCTCCATATGAGTTGTTTTTCTGATAGGTAGAGATCCTCCATAATCCTAAGAGCAGACTGGCGTGGCGATAGAACCAGACCAAAAATCAGTATTTCCCCAAAGTGCTTTGAATAAAGTAGAATACAGATCAGAACCATCCTTGGACTCTGTTTTGGAAACCCCCAAACCACTTTGGATTGCTCAGGGGGCAAAAGTAGGTCCATTATTTAGATGTTATTGTTGACCCATCTCTACAGTCCTTGTTCTAAATAATTGCTGCTTTATCTCGCACAACATGTCGAAAGTGGCAGTGTGCAGTGACCATCTTGTCTGAATAAGGCATTTTTCTGGTTTTGGCCCCAGAGTAGATTGCAGTGATATATAAAGATAAACCAAATCCCGCCCCCCGGGTGTCACCACAAAGAGGACCAAAGGTGCTCGCTCCTGCTCTGAAGGCACTACGAAGACCACAGGTGCCCACATTTTGAATGCTCAGACCTTAACATGCATGGAGGGGGCCTTTAAATTTGCCCTAACTAACATTCTTAGATTTGGAATCACGTCATCCTTGTAATATATTTGATTAAAAATTGTTGACATATACTGTCAACATAATTGACATATTCAACATATTCTAATATATATGTTTGTGTATTATATTCTATATTTGTGGGGTGGGAGCACGGGGAGGGGGAGTTGGTACATTTTTTATAAGTTGCACTCCTGAATCCTAACAAGAAAGGCAATGTGAATGTGACACGTGGTATCTCTAATGACTGAGATACAAACTATGTATTATTATTATTATTATTATTATTTTAGCTTAATTCCAACTTCTGGCAGAATGTGCAGGTGTACCCTGGCAGGTTTATGTCACTCAAAAGTAGCTGGAAACTGGAAAGCAGCTCCTTCCCCAAACCGTCTCTCACTTCTGCTCTGAGGGCACGTACCCTCCTCCACTCTCCCAACATTTCCCAGGAGGCCCACCCTGCTCCCTTCCCGCTGCACTGCGGGTCATAGCTACGGTGCAAAGCCTCGCTTTGAAACAGAAATCTGTAGGTTTAATTGTAATTTATTGCCATTATTTTTCATAATTGTGATGATAATTTTGTATGTAAAGTGCTCCCTTCCACAAAACTGCTCAGGGTGGTAAAGAGCAGTCATAAAACAATTTCTCATTAATTAAGGAAAAACAAATACCCCAGCTTCCACCAAATTACCAACAGATGGGAAACAAAGCCAGGAAAAAAAATAAAATAAAACAGTCGCAGCAATAGCAATTTTCAAATGCCTCTGGGGGCAAAAAAAAAAGCTTTTAGGTGTTTTTAAAAGTGGTTGAGAAGCACAATGAGCTGGACTAAAAGTTTAGCTGTCATCAGAGGTCAGTTCAGAAAATTTTCCACTTTAGAGAAGTATGCGGAGAAGTCCCTTCTTCCAAAATGACTATGCTGCCCTCTTCCATTGTCAGTCGGACTGAGGGCATAAACTGCCCCTTGTTAAGAGGGAGCCTTTAAAAGTGGATGCTATTGCCTACTGCTCCCAGTAAAAATGATGACAACCTGAGAAGATGATGCTGCCTTATGCTGTCAGGAGGCAGAGAGGAATCCGTAGTTCTGTTAAAAACAATGGGAGATGACAGCCATTTCAAAAGAGCACACTTCTGCTCAATTTTATTTTGCATCAGAACAGTATTCTTTAGCCTCTGCTGCAGGAGGAACTTTCAGTTATGAAGAATGATGGAAAGAAATGACCATTAATTCTTGAAGAGGAAGAAATTATTCAAATATAGCCTGCCCATGAGATGTCAGGGGGTTTTAAGTAGATGGGAATATTTTTGAAGCAATTGTGTCATTCTTTTACTGCAGCCATGCCACACGGGACAAGTAAATGGGTTGAAACTGGGTGCTGAATTTGTTAGAGAACTTCTTTTTAATTAATTTAACTCTGAGACCTATTAATGGGTCTACATGTAAGATTAATACCATGCTCGGGTACTAAGTGCTGTGATGATTCGGGAGGATAGGCTATATTTTTCATACGTAACAAAGAGACTGAATCCCTGCCTAGACTACCAAAATCAGTCTTAACTGTGGGGGGCACAGCTAGTGGTGCCTTAATATCTGAACCTTCCTCTCCGCACCCTGAACTTTAATGTTTCTGATGGGGTAGACCTGCATTCAAACCACCCAGGAGGTTAGGTTCGTGAAACCAAAATCTGGCATCCGTGGCCCATTTCTGGCCCGTGGTCTGAATCGAGTTTGCATGACAGCTCCAAGTTGTGCCTGGTCTTTCCCATAGGTCGCCGATTTATATCCCTCTGACCCAGTTACCTGTCTCCTCGCCATTTGTTATTTCTCTACCTTTCCCTGTCAGTCTGTTCAGTTTGTCCCTATCTGACACAGCTGTGCCCTGGATGCAAGTAGGCTGGCTCCAGGGTGTCAAAATCTCCACCCTGTGGAGCAGCTCAGAAATGGAGATGAACCCAGTTTAAACTGAGATGAAGCAGAGGAGATTTAGACAAACTCCTGATTCATGTTTCCACCACTACAAAATCTTGTTTAAATTTCCTCCTTGGCATTAGCACACTCTCCATTATCAGAAGTGACACATACATGAGAAGTTCATCACGAAACAACTCCAGACTCCTGAAAACACGACATTGGAAGCAAACACATCCCTGGGGCCCTTTTTGGTCTGCTTCGCTGACATGGTCCTCTTTCTTGGATCTCTTTAACAGCTGCTCCTGTCCTTACAGTGGCAGTATATTGACAGTGCCTTTATCCCCCTGCTTTATCTGTGGCAAGATAGGGTGTTTTTGACATTTTGGGCATTGTGCCTGATTGTTGTACAAGAGGATTGTTTGCAAAGTTTTTTAAGAATAGGTTAGACAAAGGCCTATATTGGATGGTTTAGACAGGCATGATCCTGCCTTTAACAGGGGATTGGACTACAGTACCTCCAGCCCTGCTTTTCTATGACTCTGTGATTAATGCTGTCCGTCTCTCTGCATATATAAAGACGTATACTCCCTCCTCATGGCAATCCCCATGGTTCACTCCATGTACGTGCTTTTCGGGAGAGAGCAGTCCCGCTAAGGATCAGGTTTCCCTTCACCTGCAGAGTCCCTATGTGAAGCTACTGAGGCAGGCCAGACTTGGGCTCCATCACGCTTTGCTGGGCTTGACGTCTCGTTCCCCATCGTGGAGTGCTGTTAAAGCGCCGAGGCGAGGTCAGAGTCATTACAAAGGGGAAGCGGCTGAAGAGAAAGTATTTGGTGGTGGTGTTTTTTCCTGTTTTATCAGTAAAACAGCAAAAAACCGGAGACAGCAGGCACATACGTAGGAAGCTCCAAGCAGGGTGCATCTCCTTCCGCATTGTGCTACTTTGCCTTTTTCATAACTACTTACCGTGTGATGAGAGGCAGCTTTTGCCTGCATGTTGGGATTGCACATTTCCATGCACATATCTGAAGAAGGATTCTTGTATGAGCACCTGGGCTGGTAAAAGACCTAGAGAAGTTAAGGTGCTGGGGGATGGAGTAAAGACGGATCATCAGCTCTTTTAAAGGTGTCAGGTCCATCAAGACCCTGTCCCTAACTCCTCCTGGAGAGCAGAGACTTGAGGTTAAAATGCTTCCATCTTTAGTGAAATGCCAGCTCTTCATGTTCCCTGCTACCTCCGCCCGAGCTAGTGATAGATTCCTCTGCCAAAAGAGCTCTGCTTCTGCACTTTCTGCTGTGGCTGCATGTGTTAATAGTGCAGCCCCTTTCAAGTTTGTTTTCAAGATGTTCGAAACATTCTTCCTACTGCCTTATAATTCATTATTCACTGGAGGCTCACACAGGGGGTATTGTTCAGAGGTTTTGGAAATGCAGAACTTAATAATGGTCCAATTAAATCGTGTGTTGAACACCTGCTCTGCAGTAGATAACGTTACCTTGATTAGAATGAGATACACAGTGAAGAAAACTCCAGAGCAAGGGCACTGGGATTTTCCAGCATTGTGAGGAATGGAATGAAACTCTGCTGGATTAACAATTTCTTTCCTCTCATTTCTCTTCCCTCCGCCTTTTCCTTCTCCCCCAGGCCTCCAGCTCCTCCGGTGGGAAGATGCAGCTTCTGGAAACTGAATTCTCTCGCACTGTCCGGGAACTCATCGACCTCCACCTGCTGCACCAGGACAGCATCCCCGCCTTCCTCAGCGCTGTAACCCTGGACCTGTTTAGCCGTCAAACCGTGGCATAAGCTGGTCTGGTCCAGAGCCATTTAGCCACGTGCCCTTCGCATGTGGATCACAATCAAATATGACTGTCCTCCCACCGCAGGGATTTGTGAGCTAACCAGACCAAACACTTTCATGTTTTGCCTTCTGTTGCGCCAGGCTCTTCTCATTTCTGTTGAAGTCCCCTCCCTTACCTTCCCCAAACACTTTTTATGACAGTTTGAGGAAACAACCAAGGAGTTATTCTCTGCTTTCTCCTGAGCTGGAGTTCCTCTTTCCACCACCTATAGCCCAAGGTCCAGATGCCCTTGACAGCACTGGGTCCAACCCCAAAGACTGTTTTTTTATGTTGGTTTTAATAACCCAGTCTGCCTCCTCTAGAGTCCCTGAAAGCTGCCACCTTACCAGAGACATACTGGTAGACAAAGGCAAGTGTCGCTCCATCCAGTTTCCCTTTTTCCAGCTGACCCCTCCCCCTTTATGAACAAGCCCTTTGATGAATTCATCAGCCTTTTAGGTCTCAACAGGAGCTGCTGCAGGGACACATGGGAGAGTTGGTTTTGGGGAGCTCACAGCTCCTTGAGTCCCAGCTTCTTCTAAGAGGATCCCACTAACTTGGGTCTCAGCTTCTTTGAGTATCAAGCACTTCAGAGAGAGAACAGATGAATGTGAGCTTTTGGGGAGCTGACAGCTTCCTGCTCCTCACAGTTACAGATTTACTACCCACTGATAGAGGTTCGGGACTGGGGGTACTGGAGCCATGGGTAGCAGAGTCTTCTTAGATACTGCCCAGTCCTGCTGCTCAGTAGGGATTGAGATGAAGAAGACAGCCAAATGTAATGGGATTCAGGACCACAGACTTCCTTAGCTACAGTCCCTCATTCATCACAATTCAACAGATAAAGTACTAATGTAAATTGGTTTCCTATGAGCCCCATCCCTGTGCAGAGCTCAAGAAATGTACTCCCATGACAACTTTCTTGCTTGGACTCAAGGGTGCCTGGTTATCTCCAAAATACAGGAAAAGGAGCAGGCAGTGGAAGGTCTCTTCAAAATTTACTGCAATGCTATTTAGTCCACTGGTACCTGCTTGTGTTGCTGTGTGCAATCCTTCTTTCCCCAGTGTCCTCACATTTGCTTTCCTGACTGCTGTGGATGGATCATTTTATGAATTTTGATGTTTTGTACTCCAATCGGGATCTGTCACTCGATTTCCTTTTTATGAATAAAGTGTTACCACCCTGCCTGGATGTGCAATTCTTTCATTTGCATTGTGCACGAGGGGCTGGAAAGGACCACTTGGCTAATCAACTTCAGTGCCCTGCTCTTGCCTACAACTCTTCTGCTGCAGCTATGGCATCACAGGTGTAAGTATGATAGTGACCCAGTGGTGCTTGGGTAGAAAGAGCTGGTTGGGGCGTTCTTTCACCCTCTACTTCCAGTACTCGATAAATGTTACTGTCAGTGCAATGGCTTCCACTTGCAATTGCATTAAAAATTGCTTCACCACCCAGAGGAAAGGCAGTAACTCCTTCATTCTCAGCAGAAACAATATAGCAAAAATAGCTTGGAGGAAAATTATGATAACCATGGTCCTGGTCTTTCCAAGCCAGAGGCATCACAAGTGACAATGTAGTCATAGGACCCAGGAAGGAAAAACTGCTTGACCCAGCTCCAACCTATCATAAATGGTGGAAGCATCCACCCCTGCAGAGAGGTCTCAGTTCTCCCATTCCTGGTCTCTCCCCATCCCCACACTTGCAGGAAGTTACTGAAGCAGCTTGAGTGAAAGCCATTAGCAAAAGTTTGCCATTTTCTCTGCTGCTCGAAGAAGTCATGGCTGAAGATGGATTGCCTGGCATCCTGTGCCAGGGGAACGCTGCCTGATTCATATGCGCGACGTGGCACTGAGAGTCGCCTTCATCAGTCATGGAGAAAATGAATCATGACGTCAGCCACACTCGACTTCTCCACCAGCACAATAGCGGAGCCTGGCTGCTTCTGGAAATCTTTCCCTCAGCTCCTCGCAGGAGAAATGAAGTAATTAATAAGTTTACAATAAACCCACTATCTTAGCAAAACAGAGGTGATGTGAGAAGCCGTGCTGGAGACTGACAAGGGAAAGAGCTCCTGCCCACTGAAAAGTTGCCTCCCGAGGGTGAACAGCTAATAAGTTGGGTTGGAAGAATTACCAGTCTTCAGAGGCTCTTTCAGCAGGGGGAAGAGACATTGAGATGAATTGCTGCTTTGTGCCATGTGTTTCCAATGAAGTTGGTTTGTTCAACAAGGTTTAATAAACTAGCACTCCAATCAATTATCCCCTCTGTCCCTCCTCAAACAGGCTTGCACATCAACATCCAAGGAGGCACTTGGGTCTATTAGACATTTCTGGTGAAGGGAGCTCCTGGCTAGAGGGCACTTCAGTGGTACAACCGTCTCTCTTGCAGGCGACATGTCTAGTGCTCTTGCATGTTAGTGCTTTTGCAGCAGCCACTCTGCTCAGGCAGGAAAGGAAACCTGGTTGGGAGGGGAGGCTCCTGAAAGCAAGTGACAGTTAGCTCTGCATGAAACAGTGACCTCTGGGAACCTTAGTTACTCTGATTTGCTTATGAGGCCATAGGAATATTCGCCTGCAAGCCAGCCAGTTGCAAACTGGTCTAACCTAAAAGGAGAGAGAGGCTTCGTCTAGTGAAGGGCTGGGAACAGGAATGAGGAATTTCCCTTCCTGGCTGACACAGATGCGTTGAGAAGCCTCCGGCAAATCACTTGACCGTGCTGCTTTCAATTCCCTTGCCTGCAAAGCAGGTATGATAGCGCTTACCTAGCACGTTTACCTAGCCTGACGGACGTCCTCCTCGACTCCGAGGGACTGCCGACGAGCACGTGAAGGGGCTGCGAGGAGCAAGTGTTTCTGCTGGGCACTGCAGTGAGTATTTACTACGTGCCGAGCTGCTTGGGGCTGCACTCGTCCCCAGCGAAGGCCTGCTTCTGCAGTAGCACGGACCACTGCTGCACATACATGCACGCGGGCAAAACAGTCTCTCCGGCAACACGTGTGGAGGTGCAGTGTCACCTGATGCACCACAGTTTTAACGCTGTCCTGAAGCTCCCTGCACAAGCACCATCTGGCTCTGAGCTGTCACCTGTGAAACCTGGGTCCTGATGTAAGGAAATTGGTTTCCAGAACCCCAGGCGGTTAGGAGAAAATTTGCAGTTGGAAGGGAGAGGAGGCAGTGTTAACAAGTGCACGTATGCGTGTGTGTGTGCACGTCTGCTTGCCGGGCTTATGTGCCGTAAGCTGTAAAATATGATTTATTAATACACGGCTGAGGGGACTGGCATGTGTTCAGAGCATTGCCTCGTTGGCAGCATTGCCTTGAGCTCCCCTTCCCTTGAATGGCGTGCAAGCCCCTTCTCTGCTGATCAGCTGCTTCATTCACATACATGTATAAATATTTAATAGGGGAAAGGAGCCTGGCGGTTCAGCTGTAAAGGCCTCGAAAGTCAGGAAACTTTCTGCTGCAGCAGCTGCTCTAAGAAACGTTCCCCTTGTAAGAAGCCTCACTGCATGTGCGGCACCTCGGCCTGCAAATGCTCTGGGCTTTCTGCCCCTATTGGCCCTGAAGCCTTAGGTTTGTGTGTGCATGGGGCTATTGGCTTCGATAGAAACACAGGCCTGAAGAACGGGGAATCTAACCTGACACTGCTGGGTCATTCCCAGGAAAGCCTGATCTGCAGGTTGTGAAACCTCTTTGTGGATCACATCTGTGTGAGTGTGTGTGTGTGTGAGATGCACGCAGAGACAGAGAGATGTGAAGGAACAGGAGGGCACAAAGAGTCAAGAGAGAAAGGTATTGGTATGAACCGGAGCGACGGGAAAGCTGAGATAGAGTGGGTGGGTAGGTAGGTGGTGAGGAACAGGAACAGGGAAGAGGGATGTGGATGAATAGGGGGCTTGGGCATGCGGTAGGAGATAGAGAAGAAAGGGAGGTGGGGAGGGGGTGGTGGGAGTGACAGCAAGGAGGAGTGGCAGAACAGCTGAGAGGAGATCCAGGGATTAAGAGAAAAGCAAAATGGATGATTTCTCTCTTCCTATTGACTGACTTAATAGAACAGAGTCGACGGCCGCTCCTGTCCTGGTCCCTCCCGGCCACAGTCTGTGGAGGGATGTGGCAGTCATGGCTAACACTGCATGGAGTGGATCCCTGTCTCCAGCTGCAGAGATCGAGTTGGGGGATAGATTTTTTCCTGCATTCTTTCCTGTGCACTGAGCATCTCTGTTTCCTTATACCCTTAATTATCCCCAGTCCCATCCCCATCTTTCTCTCTGTGTTTCTCTGGATGGACTAATCCAGAAAGTGGGGTGGAGAGGGCTGTGCGGCAGTTGCTTCATCTTTGGAGGTCAGGAGAGAAGGGAAAAGCTTCCTGCGGCTGACTGCCCAGGGTGCCAGGGTCAGGGGAGTGCCAAGTGCACACATACACTGGCATGCACACACATGTGCGAGCAGCCAGCACTCACAGCGGCACTCTCCCCCCACCCCACCCCAGCCAATCCCCACTTCAAGCAGGAGGAGCAGTGCCTAGCCCAGCCTGCCCCCCGCCTCCAGGCACTGCTCAGGACCCAGGCTGGGCATGTGTGGTGCAAGGGGGTGAAGGAGACTCCTCCATTTCCTGCCCGTCTCCTCATGGATCAGTCGAAGGCTTGGCCCCTTGCAGTAAGAGCGCTGGTCGTGCGCTCAGAGCTGACTTGCCCTAGGAGCCCAGCCCATGGTGCAGCTGGCCAGGCATGTTGCCTTTCATGGGAGCCAGGTGTATTGGCTATGGCTAGAGGAAATGGTTGGCCCTGGTCTCGACCCACATCCATGCCGCCAAGGAAGCAGATTTCTCACCCCTCAACGGAAGCAGGAGGAATGTCTTTTGACTAACTGAGGAGAGCAGAATCTATTTGGCTTTTCATCCATGCCTTACATTAACGCTCAAACCACTTCAGTTTTTAACAGGTGATTTGAAGGCTGAAGTCAGGGAAGATGCCTGGGCTGAGGGCTGGCTGAACTGAAGCATGTATTTGCTTTTCCATTTGCTTCCGTTTGTGATGCTTATGAGTTGTCTCTGACACCTTGGATACTGGGGCAGGTTTCCTCGCTGAGCAAGGAGCCGGCCCCACTCTGAAGTCCAGCCCTACTGCTGTTAGGCCAGTCAGGTCCTCTGAGCAAATTTGATTTGGAAATCATCTCCTGACAACAGGGACAACATGGTGTGCCCAGCTGGCATTTGTTCAGACACATTTTTCTGATTGTAAGTGCACTTTAAATGACAGGTCTGGCCTCGTGTGTGAGCAACAGCAACAACTCTGCAGAGCCCTTAAGCTTAAGCATATTCATGTCTTTTTTCCATCGCCATCTCCATCCTACCGAAGGCCCTGGCAGTGTCCCTGTCTTCCTTTGGGTCAAGGCCTCACAAGGCACCTGGGGGCTTTGCCCCGCTCTTCACCACCTTGTTCCACTCAGGCTGGTTACTGCTGCGGCAGCCACTGCAATGTCAGACAGATGAGCCGACAGCTTTGGAGAAGGAAGAGAAATCCCCAATGACTCCACATCCTCCTGCAGGAGCCTGTGATTCAGGAGCCTCCAAACACACTTGAGGCAGGGTCACTCATGTGGCTGGGGCCATCTCTTCCCTGCCCCACAGCTAGCAGATGGCATAAAGGGAAAACACTCCCTTTCCAGAGCCTCACCCACCCTCCTAAGTAGGAAAGGATTGACGGGGTTCACCACCGCCCAGTATGTGGGGCTTCCCGTGTGACTTGGGACGAGGCATGTCACTGCTGGAGTCTACGTGAAATGGAAGTACAGCTACATTGTCTCGCAGCCAGCTCAGAAGGCTTAATTAATCAGTACACTCATAATGGACTGTGAGCTCCTTACCGAGCTGTTTATTAGCATCCTCATTTTGCCACTGGTGGCACTGAAACAATTTGTGGCTTGATTTTTTCCTTCTCCAGGGCCTCAGCCCTGCAGTCTCGGAGGCAGGTCCTGTTTAAAGCAGGTGACAAGCTGACACAGGCAGACTCGCATACAAGCAGCAGCATTACACCCCTCGAATGCCCCGATGGCAACCCGAAGAGGGACTCTGCGTCCCAAGCTGGTGGACAGCTTTACGCTGGGGAGGGCTCTGTTTTTAATGTCTTGCTTTTCTAGCTCCAGCATGTCAAGGAAACGGGGAGAGGAGATGCAGCCAGAGACCT